TATATAATCTTCCATTACATGGTTTGAACTTTGGTTAGAGCAAGAAATAATCTGTGAAGGTTGGTTTTGCTTGGCCCATATTCAATGCTTCATCATGTGATTTGGAATGTGTAGTGGTTGCACTGTTCCTTGCGGATGCTGATTGTGGCATCTGATCATGATGATGCAAACTCTTTTGTTCGATTTGTGTTTATGATGTCCATTGTTAATGGCGATAGCTCTATGTTGTTGATCTTCTGTTGTAATTGTTGAAGTAACTGGGATTGCCTAAATCCCACTAAAGTTCTCACTTGTTTTGCTTTGTCTAAGATGGTTTCCGATATCGACGGATAAGTTATGTTATGGCTGGTCACTGCAATACAAGAAAAGTTCTTCCCAAGAGCATAGATCACATTCAATTAAGAACAATGATGATTTTTTGTGGGTGGCAGATATTGTCCCATAAGAAACTACAATGTATCATCATGCATGACTGAAGGAATCGTGAGCATAACTTGTAGCTGAGTCATTCTTGTGCTTGTATGGTGGGGCTTTGCAAACATGTATTGGGGGTCAAGTCCTCATAAAAGTATCAAATTACATCTAGAATGTTGAATTTGTCATCCAACTGAGCATGAATATTTGTCTAAGGTGCAAGTCCAGTGGGCCTAGATAATTAATACCTCTCTCTTTCTTGCTTCCATCTCAAAGTATATTGAATAACATTTGAGCACCATATCCATCAAGACATTTTACTCACGTGAGGCATGGATGAAGAAGACCTCTTGTATGCTAAACATTCGTTCATGAATAACAAATAGTAGTAAATAATTTATTTTTCTCTGGAATAGTTATTCAACGAGGTAAATGACCTTGCCCCTTAGGGTTCCATGATGCATGTCATATCTAAATTCTTGGTTTTCCCAGGTTAGAGAGTCGATTTTCATACGTGTAGGTGCTGCCCATTAGGAATCAAGTGGTACACTTTGATTCTTTTTATTTTGTATTTTATCCCCTTTAAGCTAAAATATTTTTTAATCATTGACCTCTTAAACTAGACATTTTGGGTATCTTTCTATTCAGATCTTACATAATAATCAAATGTAATTTGTCATAAATACATCCCTCTAGTGAAATTCTTACTTCCTAGGCATGTTTCATAAGGTGGTCTGCATAGGATTTGCCTTGAGGAGGCACATGGATTGACCAAACCAATGTTTTCTAAGCATCTTTATGTTGTAGCAGTCACGGTGGCCTAAGGAAAAACTTTGGGGCTCTTGGATCCATGAGATAATTTATTCAAAAATGCTAAATGATCACACAAGAAGTGATCTCCAAAGATTTGTACTAGTGTGAACAACAATCCACCTGATGAGGTTGGATCTCACTCCAATATTCACCGAGCATAGTGGCATAATAGACCCAAGACCTATACTTTTGTCTTAGTATGCGAAGATTATTTCAATCTTTCCAGAAAAAGTTGGCGACAGCTACCATTGAGATAATGTGTAGCTAAATTCTTGGACCATGCTAATTTTCTTAAAGGCTTAATCTCTACTCGTGTAGGTCTTTCCTATTTGAAATTGAGTGGTACACTCTAATTTGTCTCGAATGCATATCATTTAATTCATATTTGTTGTCCTTTCAAGTCGAACATCAAGCAACTGACCCTTGAATAGTTTCCAATCATCTTGATAATTTAATTTGCGTAGAAATATCAAGTGTCGTAGAAATAGCTTCTTTTCTTTGATATTGAACCCGAGTCAATATAAATAGCTTTTTCTTTCACAATAAAATGTCATAAACAAGTGTATGTCAAGAGAGTGAAGAATCTCTGGACATCTATGATCTATCTACATAAACTCAGTAATACAAACCCCTTAAGTATATGGCAGAGAGCATAATTCTTGACCAACCATAATAACACATGATTTGTTTCATTTCTTTTAATTCACTGGCCAAGTGCCCCATTGCTATTGTTTCACGTTTCATCCAATATACAACTAGTGATGACATGTATGGGAAGGTTGATGTGAGTATCTTTGTAATAATTCTTTGTATTCGCTCTACAATGTATGAAATAATTCTACTTTGTTTCATAAAGTTCAAAGATGATCAAACAATTAACCCAAGAAGACAATATGTCTTATGATTAAATAACCGCTACTAATGGGCATAAGGGCACTTTAATAATATACAGAGGTTGTGGTTGGTCCCATTATTTTCAACATGTCTCTCGTAGAGTCACTTATGACTAAACAATTATATGCTTGTATTTAATGTCACGCTGAATGTGTAATATCATATTGAAAGAAATCGACATTATAGAGTCGGACACTGATGGCTTCTTTATGATCTCTATGTGAGTATAATATGTGTTAACATTTTTTTTATTCGAGAGATAATTAGTCAAATTTTCCTATGGGTCCACACACCAAACAGGAACACAATAGATTAACTAAATAATGGTCGGACCGATTAGGTGTATAGGTATAAGTTATACAACCATGTTTTTCCTGATTGATAAAATTCCAAGATGGATAATCATTGTTAGGAATCATCCTTCTTTAAGTCCATATCCAGTGTACACTCCTCTGAGAACGCTAATCCAATATATAATAAGCAACAAAAATTATTTAAAAGAAGGAACAAAATTACCCGATTGATGATTCCTCCAGATGAAAAAAAATGTGTGTGAGAATATGCCAATGAGATCATATGCAGTTGGACTCTTAGAGAGTTTATTTCTATTCATGTAGGTCTTGCCTACCGCGAATTAAGTGGTACACTTTGATTCGTTTCAGATTCATATCATTCAATTCTCGCTAGTTGACATGACCACATGTGACCCAAATAAAGGGTATGTGGTTTCCTCTTCAATTGACGTGTAAGACTAATAGTACTCCTTGCTCCACGAGCCTATCTATTAGGCCAACAGCCACCATGCATGGTAGCACACTATTGCTGGGGACGAATTGCCTCTTATCTTTTTTTTTATTCATACTCACACAAAATGATCAAAACCTTGTGTTGTTCACATAAATAGATTTGTATACTATTCTTGTGCACTTTATTGTTGCACTTACAGACCCATCGACAAATGCTCATTACAGTATCAAAATAAGATCGTTGAAGTACTCATGTTTTTGTAATTCAAGGAAACTTGATCATCGTTTTCCACAGACGGTGCCAAATGTAAGAGACAAAAAATTGAGAGTACCTCCTATAGGAATTTAAAGATTGATGTGCTTCTGAACTTGATCTCTCAGTCTTCCCTCACCTACAAAACGAACAAACTGTCAAAGATCGAAGTGCTTCGATCAAAGGCACTCCGATGTTTAAGTCAATAAAGGTACTAAAACAAATAGAAGAAGACAAGGAGAGTTCAACCTACCTTTTACCTTGGCTCCTTTTGATTTTTATAGACCCTGTTCAGTGAGGGTTTTCATGAATTTTGATTCAAGGTGGCACACCTTCCTCAAATTAGGCGGCTCTAGTTGGGAAGTTACTGATATCTCTCTAGCAATTCCTCCTGTTAAGCCTATAATTTCGTCTATTCGTTTAACCAGAATGCCTGAATTGTATGCATCTTTTTAGCACCACGTTACTGTTTTAAACAGCTCAGTTGTGACGAGGACCAAGTTCATTCCTTCGTTTCCGAGCTTTCTGATTAGCTCAGTTGCTATTTGATGACAACTTGGTCGGATCTTATCCTCTGTTCGACAGGGACAACCTAGCTGTCTGTTCGATCGAAGCCGATTAACTACTAGGTCAGACCTATTTTAGCTCGGCCCAGATAGCCTAGCTACTTGCTCTGCTCAGCCCGGATGGCCTAGCTATTTGCTCTGCTTGGCCAGATAGCCTAGCTATTTGCTCTGCTTGGCCGGATGGCCTAGCTACTTGCACTGTTTGGCTCGGATGACCTAGCTATTTGTTCTGCTCGGCCGGAAAGCCTTGCTACATGCTCTGCTCGGCCCAGATAGCCTAACTACTTGCACTGTTCAGCCCGAATGGCCTAACTATTTGTTCTGCTTGGCCGGATAGCCTAGTTACTTGCTCTGCTAGGCCCCGGATGGCCTAGCTATTTGCTCTGCTCGGCCCAACTTTATCTCAGTTGTAGTAGAGTCATTGCAAATAACTCTTTTCAATACGTGCAACCTGCCACGCGTCCAAGTCTAATTATCAGATGATGGTCAGAATTTATCGACTCCTTCATTAATCATCTCAAGCTTGGCCTTCCCAAAGCTATCAGGAGATCTTTAAGGATCCTATATTATATTAATTAGACATATGCATCATGTCTTTTCTAAAATTATAATTCTCCCCCCCCCCTCCCTCTCTCGCTCACACACACACAAACTACATTATTTTTATGCAGAGTGGTTATTATAAATGGGAGGGTACAGCTAAAGGTTAATGGTTTTCCCCACTAATGAGACCTACTTGAGAAGAAACTCTAGTTGAGCATTTTTATGCCTAATCTATTGCTTAAAATGGGTAAAATGCCTATTATGTTTACATGTAGGTTTTTCAAAGGCAGAATGATAACATAAATCATGTTTTAAGCATCAAGTTTTGGAGCATGCCATGGAAAGTGGCCATTATGATGTTTTCTTGTGTCCTGCCTCCACACTACAAAAAGTTTTATCAGGAACCTTGACATAATTAGTGATAATTTCTTGCCTTATTAAGAACTTGGCTCGACATTTCTGGGTATTATTCCGAAAAATATTACAATCACCACAAATTATGAAGTTAAGTCTGACTTGGATTCAACAAGTAATAACTCAAGTTTTAAGTTCGAGCCTTGCAAGAGATACCCCAGAAGATTCGATTTTGAGTGGTCAGTACATAATTGTGTGCATACTAAGTTTACGTAGTTGTCAAGAGTCCAAAAGACACTATGGTCCTAGGACATGAGGGGAAGAAAATGTTTCCAAGGGTTGCAGGGGAAATCTGAATGGCAAGTGATGAATGTAGAGAAGTGAAAAAGGCAACCCCTGAAGGCTATAAAACTCATTAAACATATTCCTTTAGATTTACTCTATGCAGTTCTAATACAATATACGAGCAAAGAAACAGATGAAGACTACAAAAAGAAAAAAAAACAAAAATCTGCTTACAAGTTTAGCCCTTCTGACATTTGCTTATTCTCCCCCAACCCAAGGAAAACTGAGAAACGGGTGACTCAACAAGATAGAAATAAATGTCCAACAACTTAAAAACAAAACAATCAGATCAGAAAATACAAGTTGGGACCTTCTCCCATGTGGAGTTTCCCATTCTTCAACGTGCTTCTTGACTCTATAATGTTCTCACAATAACACCATTTCTTTTTCTAGTGTCTTCTGATATCTCCTTCTCGGTCACGAGACTTTCCAAGAAACTCTTAAGGCATGAATTTTTCTGCTCAACAAGATGATGATCTGCTTTCGTCCGTGTAATCTGAAATGGTTGGAAATCCAATCTTTTGTGTAGAAGAGAAAGATACAGGAATAAGGTTGCTAGAGAGAATTGCAGCAGCGCTAAGAGCTTGGGATGATAGTTCCGACGTAGCCAAATCCAGTGATGGTAAAGGTTACGGTTTGTAGGAACAGGTATATAAAGTAGTTGTTCTTTCCATATAGAAAATCATAGCATCCACTGAAGAAGAGGAACGCTGCAAATCCCAGTTCCAGTAGGTGAATCCTGAGAATTTAAACAATGAAACAGTATAAGAATGTTAATTCTGAATACAGAAGTGCCTGCCATTCATGCAGCATCAAAGTTAATGACTTAGATACCATATTGTAGTCTAACCCAAATCAATTTAAAAAAAAAAAAATTAAAAAAAAAGCAGAACAAATGATATTAAGGGATGAACCAATGAAGGACTGGTTAGGACTTTTCACCTGTCTCCAACCTTGAACAGGGGTCTCTTTATTGTTTTGGTGCTTGATTTATTCTTGAGAGTATCTCCTAGTTTTTCAGTCACAACCCATTCATTAGCTCTCTTTGCTTCTAGCAGACCAATGAAGGTCGCCTTAGTTCGGTGCAGGGACATCACATTCTCAAAAAGAATCCAGTAAAACAATAGATGGATTGACCTGAAAGTTCAAGTTAAAAACTTCTGAGTAATACATATATGATGTTGAAGTTTTTGATTCTGCAAGAATGCATCATGGAAGAGAATGAATGAGAAAAACGAAATTTGCATTCAAGACCTTGGAGTCCCAACTGCATTTAGAGCGGTGATTATGCAAGGAATGTAAATGGCTCCCCATTTTGGAACTTCGACTTCTGGAACCATAATGGTCAGTGGAAGCACCACGCAGTAGAACCAGAAGGTGACCATGTGAGCTATTATCTTCCGAACGAAGAAGAAGCTGTAGATCATATATACTTTCTTCCATAGGACTACTCTCTGTAACAACACACAATGATTGATTTCTGATTGCTTCTATGATACTACTATTAAACTTATCTATTTAAGATTAGAGTCATAAAACTCAAAAACTGACCTTGTTTCTAATGATCTCCATCACCATTTTCCGGAACAAATTAGCAGGACCACAAGACCATCGATGCTGCTGAAATCGAAATGCTTTGAAAGTGCTTGGAAGTTCACTTTTCACCTATCAGAAAAACCAATTGTAAAGTGTTCATCATCAGCCAAAAAAAAAATTTGTGAGTTTGAATCTCGCGATTGTGCTTAGCATGAGTTAATGACCTTGTGATGGCACAGAATACATTGTGTCTCCTCATAACAGTCTGCTAATAATCACCATGACTAATGCTTTGAGGACACTATGGAACTTAAAATGGCTACAAGAACAAGGACTGACACACTTGTTTTTCAAATGAAAGATGAAGCAATGGGACAAGGTAGTCAAAGTCACATAGCACTTCTCTATGTTCAAGGGCAGAGAGGGGTGACCAGCTTCTAAAGGTTTGAAAAATTTCCTAGTTTGATCCAAAACTTATTGTAAACAGTAAAATCTCTAAGAAACCTAAAATCTTAAGTGTGTTACAAGAATCACATTATACGGGTGCCAATTATCGCGAATAGCACATCAACTTAGGCGTTTAGTACCACATATATATATACCTGGAGGTCAGCGAGGTAAAGAAATTTCCAGCCCTTAAGACCAGCTCGGACCGCAAGATCCATGTCCTCAACTGTTGTTCTGTCCTTCCACCCTCCTGCCTCATTAATTGCACCAATTCGCCATATCCCACCGGTTCCTGCATTTTTGTTTATTGCTCAATTTGCATTATAAAGAACTGTCTGGCATTCATCCATTAAACAGTTTTGCGCTGTTTAATTTTTTTCATCAAACAGTTTTGAGTCAATATGGAAGTTTTGGGATCATTTGAATTTGAATCGAATTCGAATTCAAATTCAGTGAGATTCCAAGTTGTACAATCCGAACATATTTTGATCATTCGATTCCCTTTGTGCAACTGTTTTGAAAAGTAAAATAAAATATTTTTCCAAAGAAGAAGTGAAAAAGAATTAATTTGGAAGCTGTTTTTCAGAAGACAGTTTACCATTGAAGCCAAAGAAGGCATGAGTGGATGAACCCACTTCTTGCTCCACAGTGAAATGATAGTCCAATGACATCTCTTGCATCCTTGTCAACAAACACTCATCAGCATTCACTGCAATATCACCCATTAAATTACCACCCTTAACATGAGCTTCATTTTCTAGAAATAAGTAAATTATATTTGCAATGCATTTGAAAAGTAAAATTAAATATTGTTCAAAAAAAAAGAACCAAACTTCGAGAAAGAGCTCCTTCTTCGTAAGATAATCTTTCCTAGAGTATCCAATTAGGGCTTATTTGGTTTGTCATGTTAGAGGGTACTAAAGAATCGTATAGGATTAAATTACTTCAATTTGGGTTTATACAATATTGGGATGTCAAAAGTCACTCGATATCATGTATAAGGCTAAAATCAAATATGTATACCAACAGTATATTTTTAATACCATCAACTACTACTATTAAGCTACTTTCAATACCACCCGCGAGGTAGTATTGTAATCCAATCTAAAAGTATTACTGTTATTGTTTTAATGTTTTATCACCAAGAGTACGGTAACCCACATAACTCATTTCTCTTCCTAAAATAACCTTCTTCATCAGTTCACGTCTCTTCCCACATCTGCACTTTTAAAATTCCTCCCCTTTGTTAAGCAAAGATCCTTCCCATCCTTTATCCATCATCAACCAAGTAAGGTAATTTTTTTTTTAATTTACTTATATATTTTCAAGTAAAAAAATTAGACTATCTCAAATTAAGGGTATTTTGGTCAATGCGATGCTATTACCACAAGATTCGTAGACTAAACAAATGTAAGATTTGACAAGATAGCTGTTACTTAGATCTTAATCTGATGTCATGCCAAACGCTGGATAAAATAGAAAGTATTTTTATTCTCTATTCAATCTTTGTATTTATCCACTTATACAAAATTACTATTTTAATTTTTTTTTTAATTAATACGACAACCAAACATGTATACATATATACACGATAAAGTAAGCCTAGCTTTGAGTGGATTTAAGTCGGTGTAATTACCTCCATAAATTGTTTAGCTACAATTAGGAATATCAAAATATAACACAAATCGTTAACACGATATAAACAAGATACGAAATTAAAGAGTTTGAGTTTTCTTTTGGTTATGCATTTCATAAATTCGTGGACCTAATCCATCATGATTAATAAACGAATCGGGTACGAGTGACGTCAATCAAAAGAAATATAGGACACGATACACGACATGAATCTGATATGACACGACTCATTAGACACGAATTAATAAAAGAATCGGATATAAATAGAGCGCTTTTTGACAAAAATCCACCAATACTCAACACGAATTCATCTCATCCGACACGTTTGACAGACTTAACTACAATAGTTAAATTTTAAGAGTAACATTTCATTAATGTAAAAAAATATCATTGAAAACATATGGGCATTTTTGTATTTAAATGTCTTAAAATATATATTTAAAAAAAATTCAAAATATAATCACGTGAGTACTAACAAAATTACCCATAGAAATAAATTCTCTTAATACACGTTGAAGATAGTTTTTACGAATTACTAGCCACCCATAACCTCTATCTATAGCTTATCAAAATCAAAAGGTCGTCTATCAAATTCATAAACGACATGTAAAAAGTCATGTTATTTTATTAATTTATTTTACTTTATTATTTCTAAAATCAATAATTTCTCTAAGACTATATATATATATATATACTAGTTATTACCTGTGCCTGAAGGCAAATAGTAATAAAAAATAGTAAACAATAAACATATTTGTATTCATATCCAAAATCAAATCACAAATATGTAGAGAAGAGATAAAAGAATTTAAACATCGGTTTGTAGTGGGGTGAAAGGTGGTGGTGAGAGGAGAAGGTGATGGTTGTGGTGGGTGACAATGACCATGGTGGTGATGACAAGGATGACGGCGGCAATGGCAACAGCGACGGTGGTGGTGGTGCTAGTGGCGGTGGTGATGGGGGGTGGCGACGGGGGAAGTGGCAATGGTGATGGCGACAACGATGGTGGTGATGGCAGCGACGACGGCGACGGTGGTGGTGGTGGTGGTGAGGCGGTTCCAAATAGTATTTTTTTTATAAAATATTTATGAGAAATAATTTCTAAAAATACTTTTAAAAAATCACTCCAAACACACCTTTAGAGGCTTATTTTTCCTATTAAATTTAGGGTATTAATATTAGCCATTAGATTAGCTTTAAAGTAAAATTTAAAGCGATCTCAACCGCGAATAGCAAAAATCATTTTGTTTATCTTTTAAAATTTAAATTGTAAACTACTTTATTATATAGACTAATTATTGTGTGTACTTGAAGGCACAAAATAATAAAAATTGGTAAATAATAAATATATTTGTATTCATATTCAAAATTAAATCACAAATATAGAAAATAGATAAAAGAATTTTAAACATCGATTTGTTGTAGAGGTGAGAGATGGTGGGTAGTAGTGGTGGTGATAGAAGACAGTAATAGTTGTGGTGGCAGTGATGGTGGTGGTAATGGCGGCGACGGCGACGATGATGGTGGTGGTGACGGCGGCAACGATGGTAGTGGTGGTGGCGACGACAATGGTGATAGTGGCGGTGGTGGAGGCGATGGTGGGGGCGAGGGCGACAGTGGCGGTGGTGGCGGCGATGATGGTGGTGATGGTAGTGGCGACGGCGGCAACGACGATGGTGGTGGTGGCAGTGATGGTGGCGGCGGTGGCAGTGGTGGCGATGGCGACGACAGCGACGATGGTGGTGGTGGTGGCAGTGGCTGTGGCGATAGCGGTGGTGGGGGGTGGTAATGGCGGTTGCGGCANGCAGTGGTGGTGATGGCGACGACAGCGACGACGGTGGTGGTGGTGGCAGTGGCTGTGGCAATAGCGGTGGTGGGGGGTGGTAGTGGCGGTTGCGGCAGCCATGGTAGTGGTGGCGACGGCGGTGGTAGAGGTAGTGGTAGAGTAGTTCAAAAAAATATATATATTTTTTAAAGTATTTATGATAAATAATCCCTAAAAATACTTTTAAAAAACTATTCTAAACACACCTTTAGGGGCTTATTTTTTCCTATTAAATTTGGAATTTTAATATTAGCCATTAGATTAACTTTTAAAGTAAAATTTTAAACGATCTCAACCGTGAATAGCAAAAATAATTTTGTTTATGTTTTGAAATTTGAATTATAAGCTATTTTATTATATAGATTAGTTATTACCTGTGTCTGAAGGCACAGAGTAATAAAAAATGATAAACAATAAAAATATTTATATTCATATCCAAAATCAAATCACAAACATAGAGAAAAGATAAATAAATTTAAGCATTGGTTGTAGTGGGGGTGAGAAGTGACAGGCGACAGTAGTGGTGGTAGAAGACGATGATGGGGGCGACGACGATGGTGATAATGGTAGTGATAGTAATAATGACAGTGGCAGTGGTGGTAAAGGCGGCAACAGTGGCAGTGGTGGTAGACGTAGTAGAGGTAGTGGTAGAACGGTTTTAAACACTATTTTTTTTTAAAAGTACTTATGAAAAATAATTCTTTAAAATAGTTTTAAAAAATCATTTCAAACACACCCTTAAACCCCTATTTTTCCTATTACATTTAGAGTGTGAATATTAGCTGTTAGATTAACTTCAAAATAAAATTTAAAACGATCTCAACCGTGAATAGTAAAAGTCATTTTATTTATTTATTTAAGTTTGAATTGTTTATTATATAAATATATTTATTTATTATTTATTTGTATGCCACTGATAAACAAAAAATTAGTATCATAGCGCTATGAAAATGTGCATGCGTGAAAAGACATAAATGCCGCCATCATAAGTAAGATAAGAGCTGTTATTTTTCTGTCGTCACGTACCACAAAATAAAGTTTTCCACGTCATCAAAGACACAACCCCCTAGAATTACCGTAAACAGTTTTATGAAAGAATAATGTTAAATGAATTTAAAAATTAAATTTAATAATTTCAACTCTTGAATAAGTAGTAAATAGTGGATCCCAATAAATATTGAAATTCATACTAAAATTAATAATTTTAATTATCAAATTTAATTTTTAAATTTATATAATATTAATCATTACTCAACGAAAGTGTCGGCGAGTAAAGTGAACCCAGTGAGGCCCACCAACCGAACCTTTGGTTCTGACCACGGCGTACTAGCACGTGGACGAATACGAAATGACAAATCTGCCCTTCCAAACTGGACCTAATTATGTTTGTTGTCCATTTATAATTAAGTAACAAACCTGTCCCGGAGATCCACCGCCGGTCGGCAGCCATGCCGGTTGTTACGGGGAACGGTGGGCTTTCAGCAAAATGTCAGGGTAATTATGTCAATTTAACAAACAATGACGCCAATGATAACAATACATCATTGAAATAATCAAAAGAAATCGATAATCGAATGTATTGACTTAATCATAACTCCAATCTAAAGTTTTATCAATTGTCCAAGGTGAAGTTCATGGACCAACACGTAAACAAGTGGTGTTTATTTTATTTATTTATTTATAAGGTTTATGTTAAATGATGATATGAAATACATGATAATAGTGAAATGTTGTTAATATTTACTTGTATATTTGTTTTTAGAGTATAGCATATTTAAGTTTGTATCGATTATTCTTTCAAATTCAATCACCATGACTGAAAACTGGATTAGAACATATCTTTAAAAAAAACAAAAAAAACTAACTCTTAAGGAATATTAAAAAAATTTAAAACTGAAATATCTCAATTACCAAATACCATGTTCAACTAGTGAAATAACTCTAAATATTATTTATTTAGTTGCTTTAGACTTGTTAGCTAAACCCCCGTGATGTACGGCCACAACACAAACTAAGTGTCGCGATGGGACGGCAATTGGCGGCCCCTCCCGTGATCAAAGGAGTTGCCCTGGACCCTGACTAGCGTGCGGTCTGCAACAATCACGTTGGAGAAGCAAATAGAAAATGTACACAGAATCACATGTAAACATATACAAATTATGGTGTTTATTGATCGTTAAAAAAATAAAATTATGCGCAATAATGAAATATAAAATTTTTACATGTGTTATGCTCTTATTACACACAAAGACGTGATAAGGTGGTATTTTGTATCATATTAAAAAACTACAGATTCATGAACATGACAGTATAGACTACTATAGAGTAGACCACCGACACTCTCCAACGTTAAGGCACATGAAATGTAAGACCATTAATGTTTATATAGGTCAATCGTGTCGTATTTTGTGTGACTCACATAATGTGTTATTCGTATTGTATCATTGTTATTTGTATTATATTCATATCAAATAATCAGAACTGACACTTTTATAGAATAACATAACATGTAACTCAAAGTCTAAACAAGAAAGCTCAATCATGGTCTAAGATTTGAAGCTTACCAAACCTCCAACGAGCTTGAACAAGTGCAATTTCAGGGTTGTGGACAAGGAAAGGGATGGCTCGCCGGAGAAAGTCCGGTTCCGGCCGGAAATCGGCATCTAAAATGGCGACGAATTCACAGTTTTTGACATAGTCGCGCTTTAGGCCTTCTTTGAGAGCACCAGCTTTGTAGCCGCCTCTGGTTTCTCTGATTTGATAGATTATGTTAATGCCTTTGCTTGCCCACCTTAAGCATTCCTTCTCAACCATATCCTATAGCATCAAAATTAACAAAGCCCAGATTATAAATTGATTGATTGGGTCGATATCATATAGCATTATTGTTAATTTGATGACTGATGACAAAATTAGCAAAACCCAGATTGTATTTCGATTGAATTGGCTGGACCCTGAGAGAGAAATTCAAGAAAATCTAATGTTAGTGGTGGAAAAACATTAATTGTTGTTGGCTTATGACAAAAATTATACATTTGGATGAAGTAAAATGGCAAAAAGAAGACAAGTCTGTACGGCAAAATGATTGGATTATGAGGTCTACACCAAGACCAAGACAAGAAAACAGAGTAATTCTGTAGAGAACTCAAAAATGCCAACACCCATTAAGCAAAAGCATAATGAATTGATTTTTATAGTAGAACCCAGATCTAGAATTGAGCAATTTGATCTATAAAAACCATTAAAAGAAGGATTTTTCTATTTTGGAGTTTGGGTATCGGAAACTGCACTTTAACTGGATTTCATTAACAAATGTAAAACTGTTTTTTTTCTTCCGGGGACTGTTTGGATGGTGGAATTGAGTACCTTGATAACAGGGTCAGTTGAATCATCAAGCACTTGAATCACGAGACGATCTGACGGCCATGAAAGATTACATGCAGCTCCAATGGAGATCTTGTAGACCTGTCCCAAACACGCCATATGATTAAACAAACACCCAACCTCAGCTTTTTCTCACTTACCCAGAAAAGCTAGAAAATCAACACTGCCAAAACACATAGTATCCATACACACCCACAGAGAGAGAGAGAGAGAAAACAGACCTCTCTCTCATTGAACATTGGGATTTGAACAAGGACCAAAGGGAAGGCCTCATTGCCACTCTCCAAATCATCACGCATTGGCTCCCATTTGTATCGCTTATCGGGCTTTTTCCAGAAGAGCTTAACAAGAATGATGACAACACCCATGTACAGCCTCTCAAAGAAAAGCATAAGTGACATGGTCAGACATATATACACAGCAAGCCTTAAGAGTGGAACTATCAATGGTGCTTTGATTAGCTCCCAAATCAACCCAATTTGCCCTGCTATATCTGTTGTTGTTCCCTGGAATGACTCTGGTATAAAAGTTTTAGCAGAAACCTCAGCCATTTTTCTCTCTCTGGGAACTCTGTCTCTTGCCCGAAAACAATGCAAAACTGAAGACAGAGCTAAAACAGGGGATGATAGACTTACTAGATCTACTCTCACTCAGCTTCTCACTGTGTATATTATATGTTTTTGCTACAGAATTGTAGGGTGTCCTTAGAAGAGAAGGGATGGACCAGTTCAGATCTCTGATTTTCTCTCTATACCCATAAACAAAGTACACAAGACCACTACTTTGTGCACTTTGAAGGTCTCCTCTCTCACAAATTGGGCCAAACCACTCTTCTGTTTCTTTCTATTCAATCAAAATAGACTAGAGACAGAGCAGTGTTGTGGCATTGTGGGAGAGTGAGAAGTGTTGAGAGAAAGTAGAGGAAAGTAATGGAGTGTGAGATAAAAAGAAGGTGAGGTTTTTTGGTCTTATTTGGGCGTATTTATTACTGACTTTGATCTCTCTCTCTCTCTCCCCCCCTTCTTTTTTCTTTCTCTTTCTTTTTTCATGTAGTGTGTGATTTGTTGTTCAAAAAGCCCAGAACCCGTTCCAACTTCCAACTACTATCAGTGACTGTGAGTCACCTTTTGTGCCTTAAAAGAACTGCTAAAAAATTCAATTGGGTCAATCTCCGGAGACCGGTGTCAGATTCCGGCGATAGTGTCAGATGCCAAGAGACAATCCAGCGTGGCAGTCTACATGACATGTTATTGTACAGAGTGGCTCAGTGACATGGCACTCTCTAATTGGATATCAATTGTTCCAAAGCTATGGTTCTATTCATAATAAATTAAAGAGCAATGTTATATGCTACGTAAACTTAAACAATAGACTTAAAAATTAAATTTAATAATTTTAACCATTGATTTTACTGTAGGTCTCAGCATTACTCTAAATTAAAAGCATATGATACATGGACATTATGTTTTTGGAACTTTGCATTTGAGTGATACTACATTAATACCACAATTAAACTTACCCATGAACACAAGGGAAAAAAAAGGTAATTAATTTAATTACCCAAAAACAGAAAGAAAATGGGTACTTAATGTAATTACCTAAAAGTATGCACTGGTGAAGCAGAAAAGGGCAAGTATCATGTGGGGAAGAGCATAGAGGGTCCACCTGTCACCTTGGCATGAAGAATGAAGACAGCAAAATCATAAGGTAAACAAGTCAAGTAATAGCTATCATGCTTTATGTATAAGAATTTTTCTGGAAAATGATTTGATAATAGGATTTTTATAAATATTTATCATAATAGTATTTTATTTAGAACTAAAATGATTATAAAATCATACACCATTCTTTAAATAAAATGTTTTTTAAAAGTTATGTGTCTGTAGGATCACTCTTCTCCCATCAGTATTAGTACCAATATCAACTTTAAAATATGACAAGAGATGGGACTTTAAATCTTAGTCAATCAAAATTAAAATTGACGGAAGATGATACAAATGCACCACAATACATTTTTTTTTTTTGATTGTGACGATTTAGGACCACTTCTCATCCCTAATGAAACATAAGTAGCTGAGAGATGTGTGTGTGTGTATTTTTGCACACAACCATCAAATTGTAGATCCCTTGTTTGTCTAAGAAATGTTGTTTATTTAACTATTTTTTTTGTGGAATTCTAGTAATAACTTTTATAAAATATTTAAATAATACTTTTTGAATTTCGAAAATCATCTTCTTAAACGCCTCTAAAAATTTCATCTTGAGAGTGATACAAAAGATGGCAACTAGGAGAGCCTGATGTAGCCGAGTGTCGACTAAGGAATTTATATATACGTCGGACCCAAATGTGCGTATAATTCATACCTAATAATCGCAGCAATAAATGGGGTCAATTTGTTGAAGTCCTCCCTAGTGTATAATTCATACATATTCTTGATAACTTTTTTATGATCAATTTTCAATAAATTATCAAAATTTAAATTTAAGATATTTGAATTTACGATTTACCTATAATATACTCTTACATAAACGTTTGGTCCATGGACCCCACAAGTGATACCCTGGACTTGCCTCCTTTGTTCTCTCTTTATTACATATATTGTGTGTCACACTGGTTTTTTTTTTTAATCTTGGTACAGAATGGTACTTACAAGTAACTTTAACTTGGCCAAGTGGAAAAAGTAAGAGAAAAGAAAACAGCTGTGGCAAAGAATTTTAAAGCTGTAAGAAGTACTTAGATGGAGGGCTAGAAGACCCTAAATGACACTAATCCTCATGATTATTTTGTACCAAATCCAAGCATAATATGATTTAAAAAGAAGAGCGGCATTGGTGAAGCTTCTATCCACAACTGTTGTCTGACTTTTTCTTTTTCTAACCACTCAGGACTCTCTCTCTCGCCCAACTGTCAAATATTTGTATAATAGTGTTTGATTCATTGTCTTTGGAGTCTTTCATTCTTGTGCCTTGTTCTTTGTTTGCTTATTCTATCAAAACAGAGCTGGAAAAAGCTTCAATTGCCCAATTTGAAAAGTAAACAGCACCCTCTTAATTCACATTTGCCGACAATGAAGTACTAACACACAGTGTCACCTATCATAAGGTCGTGATGAGAGAGAGAGAGAGAGAGAGACCTGTGAACAAACATTTACTTTATTTTGATATTTTGTTTTCCATAAATAAATTAAACCCGCAATGTTGACAAGCTAACAACACCAGAAAGAGTGGTGTATTAGCATGTTGACTATCGAAAACTAAGTACTCATACTGATATACAGCTAGCCTGATAATGAAGAATTGCTGCTAGCAAGTCCTACTTTTTTTTTTTTTTTGAAGAGAAACGAGATCAGTCCTACCTCGGGGAAAGTTAAACATCCTGCTCGGAGTGTGATTCGATCCCTCGTGAATTGCCTCACGAGAGGGGGGTCGTTCAATCCAATTGAACAAGAACATATTGATTTAGTACATGCAATTCTGCATCCTTATGTGAACATTCTGGTTTGCCCTCACATTGGACTCCTTCTTTGTCTGCTACATTAATGAAGATTTTAGAAGCATAAGTTTCTCCTATTTACAATAAAATGACCCAGTCAACAAGCATATCATCAATGACATCTCCCAGATTAATCTAATTAACGATGCAATATTGACCAACTTTTCTTTCAATGTTCTGACCAATTCCAAATGAATTGTGAGATTAGTAAGTTTCACTCTCTCATCATCAATAATTATGATAAAATTGCATCAGTTGATAAGAAAGTTGTGTGTAATATTATCCGTATCCCTCTAACAATCGTCGGTCCAATAATGTCCGGAGCATAGTCTTTTGAAAACTTAAACATTGCAAGAGATATTTGAATACTTAAATCAATTTGAAAATGAAAATGGTCCTTCCATGTCTAGGAGTTGTTGGACTTCAATCTCTTTTGTCATACAACTGTTTGTGAAGGAATGCTGAGAATGGAGAACTAGAAATTTTCAAGTGATATTTAATTTGCCTTTTCAATTGTTTAGTACCTACTTTCTGGGTTAGGCTTACACCAATTTGGAATATTTGGTAGGCACACTCTCTCATATAACCAACACTGTGATGTGGAATTGTGTGTAAATATACTCTTCAAATGATGTAATTCAATCTAGCCAGATCATAGTTAGTTGTGATTCGTGTGTGCGATAAATAATCAATAAAACAGAATAATAAAAGAAAAACATAAGAATTTACGTGGTTCGATAATTTGTTTATGTCCATGATCATAGAGCGATTGTCTTATTTTTATTTAACACTGAATTAGGGTTATCACTCAACTTATATATGTTACAACTCTAATTAGGGTATTCCGAAGGCACCTGTTACTCCATACTTGAATATGAGTCACCTATCTCAACATAGTTTAAATGTGTGGATAAGAATGTAAGACAGAGTGATCGAGAGAAATGAGCACTCCTTTACTAGTTTACACGATATATTCTAGTTTTTGGTTATTTTATATCCAGTGAAATTTTGAGTATCAAATATAATGTCATATGATAAAGATGTATCATCTAACTTTTTATTAATTGATAAAATTTTTAAAACTTATTAAAATGTCCACCCGAATATAATTTTCTGGCTCTACCCATGCCCAAATCTAAGGTATAAATACTTAAGTTACATTTTTTTCAATAATTTAAATTTTTAGAGTAGATGATTGTTGGTTCAAAAAAATAGATGATTGTTTAATAAGGTATTAGAGTAGAAAATTATGTATTCGAATCTTATAACAATCTTAATCATTCAAAGAGTTTTCACGTACTAAATTTAAAATTTAATCTACAAGTAAAAGAGTGTTAAAATATAAATAGTTATAATGTATAACTAATACCATAGATTAAGCAAGTAACAGGTCTATATATCTAGTCACATATCTAGTCACTATCAGTTGACAAAGACTATACCTTATTCCAATAAGATTATTCTCTCTCCAAGCCAAGTTCTTATTTTTGGAGCTTGTTCCACAATCAAAATTTAATATTTCATTTAGTAGGATAAAAAAAATAGAAAGATAAAAAGGTATATATTAATTTCATATATAGATATAATAACAAAATATCTACTTATATTTTTTTTAAAAATAAATATTTAAATATTTAACATAAAATAAGATATAAAAAATAAATAAAATCAAATAGTTTTTCTATATTACCAAACACAAACAAAAAATAATTATTCTTAATTTTCATTCTTCTTACTAAACACAAATGAGTGAAAGAATGATTCCAACTTTAAAAAATAGAAAATATATTACTTTCACTTTTAATATATATATTTTTTTCATCCATCCTATCACACGAACTATATTTATAATATAAAATAGGACAAATTTCAATATGTTCATCCGAATAAGACCAAAATCAATCAATAATTGGATAAAGATATGAATTTTTTTATTAAACTTTTTGTGATCGGGAATGCACCGGAACACCCAGTCACGTGACCACATCTTATTGTCATGTTTTTATGTAAAATGTACATCTGCCCCTCAAGTCTTTTGTATTTCGTCGCACAGGCCTAATCTCTCCTTGTGAGAAAATATTCGTTGCAATGGTGATAATATGGGATTAGTGATATATGATATTATCAAGTAATGATAATATATCGTGTAGGGTCGGAGTCAAAAGTTCTTTTTAGTGGGAATAATCATTAAGTTAAAGAGAATGATTACACAATAATTATCAAAATTCATTGCATATAGTAAACATAATTGTTTTCTAAAAATTTTATTTTTTATAAAAAAATATTCATAATCTAACACTTTTATAAAAAATTATTCATATTATTTGTTTATTTTCAAAATTTTTACATATACATATACGTGAAAAAAGACTTGATTAAGAAAAATTAATATAATTTTTTTATATATAAAATATTAAAATAAAGACAAT